CGGCAGCATTCCTCTTACACTCCGAGCTCAGGCTCCGACCTTCAACAGCGTCAACCGCTCCGTTGCCATCTCGCAAAGGGGGGGGGGGGGGGTCCCGCGGTTGGAATCCAACGGAAACACCCACCGGGGTTGTCGCTGCGGTGCGAACAACCTCGACCTTTGCACCACCCACCACCCCCTTACGCAGCGGAAGTTCTAAAGACTTCTAGATTTGGCTCTCACTTGATACAGCTGTCGTGCTGTGACGGTTCCACCTGAAGACGGAAGCTTGTGTTGCCTCCGAAACGTCGTGATTTTTATTTTATTTTTATTTTACTTTTCTTTCGCCCACGTCACTCAGCGACTCGGCGCGGAAGCCGCTTTAACCCCTCGCTCGCACACGTGGCACCGATGAACGACGGAAAGTGACCCTGTAACAGGCCCCCTTCCCCCCGTCCCCCACCACCCCGCTGAACAACTGTAGCGACGACGACGACGCTCCACGATGCGTCTCCGGGGATTGTACCGGCGCCGTGTTCAGAAACCGAAGAGGGCCCCCCCCCTGGGCGGCGTGGGAGTGAAACGTCGGACATCGCTGACCAAACAAAAGGCGCGGCACGACCCGAAGTCACGTCGGAGGGAAGCGCGCAGGGCAACCGCGAAAACGCATGCAGCGGCCTTACCGTTACGACGACAGCCACTGATCGAAACAGCATAATCATAACAACGACGATATCAATCATAACATTTAATCGCGATAGAATTCCCGGCAGACGCCACGTTTATGCCAAACGCGCAGAAGTCTCTCGCTCCGGCTTTCGAGCGATGCCGCACACGCCGGACACGCCAGGCCGCGTGCCTCCACCCCTGCGGTGGTCATCAAGCACTCCCAGGATGAGGAAATGAGTAAAACGTGGTAGGGATCAACCCTCGGCAGCTCTGCCAGGGCGCTCTCTGGGCTCCTCTTGAGCCGTCTCCGTTAAATCGCCACGGTGGCTAGGGAGATGTTAGCTACCTCGCCTGGTATGCAGGAGATTGTCGGTTCGAGCCTGGCCCTAACGCCTGCTGTATATTTCGAGTTTGCGTGTCTCTCTCTCTCGTTATCATCACGATGGCTAGGAGATGTTAACTACCTCGCCTGGTGTACAGGAGGTGGTGGGTTCAATCCCGACCCTGATGCCTGCTGCTGTGTATTTGGAGTTTGCGTATCTCTCTCTCTCCACGTGGTAACGTGGATTTGTCTCCGGGTCCTCCGTTTTTTTTCCCCTCCACATTTCGAATCGACATCACCACGCGTTTCAGAGTATTTGGCTGCGATGAATTTACACGTGGTGATGATGATGAGCCACTTCTTTGAGCGATCATTTGTGATGGGCCGTGGGTCGCTTCTGGAAAAGAGATAGTGGGGCCTTTACCTGGGAAAGTAAAAAAAATAGTTGATAGGTTTGAATAGTTGATATGTTTGATTATATTTTGCGGTCGTGTCCAACCCCGTGACGTTATCGTTGCGTTTGCACGGCAGGAGAACCCGCAGTCACCAACGACCACACTTCGGAACCGTGCTTTGACCATGGGTGGCTGGAATCTGGATTCTAACCCAGATCTCAGGGTATTTGGCCTACTCTTCCTGCACGCCGGCCAGACGCCCTGGAAGAGGTGCCGATAACCCACACTTCACCTCACACCATGCGGGCGACGTGCCCAACGACTCGCTGTGCTTTGGAGGTACGCCCCACGAAAGGACGTCAAGAGTTTACTATACATATTCTCACCACGATCGTCGGATAATTCACGTCCACGCTCAGCCAGCGGGGGGGGGGGGGGGGGGGGGGTGCACGGATGATCGATTTGCAGAGTGCCCGAACGTCTTTTTCGTCGTTACGTGCACATCGAATATTTACGTTCGCCCAAATCTCCCTCCACCCCCCCCCCCCCTCCTCTAAACTCAGCAGCGGCAGCCTCTCGGGACTTCTCTCCATGGAGGTTCTGTGCCCCTCCCCCCCATCCCTGGACCCCCCTCCCCGCCCGCCCGGCGCGCCCGCCCGCCCCTACGTCTCGGTTTGTGCTCTGTACCGGGCTCCTACTGAAGAAGAGAGAAGAGAAAAACGAAATGTTATTCGCTGTTCTCGTGCCCATCGACGGCACGACGTTTGGCGGCGCCCGTGGCTCCCGTTCTCGCGCTCGAGACCCCAGGCAGTGTCCCCAACCGCTCCGCACCGCCGCCAGGCAGGATTTGCACATTTGTATTGCCGCTCCTCCGATTAATTAGCAACACGGCCGGCTACGCGCGCTTGGCGAAACAAGTTCGGAGTACGTCTTTCTGAGCGTACGTCAACGGCGACGAACGATCGCAGCTCCCGTCCGTGCACCTCGTCATGTGACCCTGTCTTGATGATTACATCGTTTGGTCCGCTTTGACACACACACACACACAAAGACAAACATCCCCCGTATAGGCCGAGCAGACTGTTGGGGCAAGTGCTGTTAACGAGCACCTGGGTGGCGAACACCACGCCCGGCCGCCTTTGTCTCCCCCAGTGGCGATGTTTTTACGCACCGCACCGGGTACTCATTTGAGGCCGAGTCGACCTAGGGGAGGCTCGGGACCGGTTCAGATAATCGTCACCGGTGTTGGCCGTAAGCGGGAATCGAACTCGGGTTGCAGGATTCGTAGCGGAGCGTAGCGCTAACCGCTGCACGACTGCTCCCAACTCGCCCACTCGCCCACACACGCACAAACTGGAATGTCAAAGTCTTCAAATCTCTTTAAGAGGCATCGGCGCTGGCTCCGCTGCTCGGAGCGAAAAACTCCCGCCGACGAAAGCGTCGAGAGATGCAGCTTGAGCCTCCCTGCAACATTTAAAAGTCGGCGATTCGACGATTGGCTTCGCGCCAAACCCTCACGCCCACCCTGGTCACCCGAAGCGGCCGCTTGACAAATTCACAGCCCTTTTTAAATCCTTTATATTAAGTTCACTTGCTTGCTTGCTTGCGCGCTTACGACCGTGCAAATCTTTCGGTCGTTTTTTAACCCACTTCCCGTGATCCAATCGAGCTGACATTTTCCACACAGACTCGTTGTGCGTGACAATTTATTTTCGTTAAAATTTTCAAATTTTACACTTTTTAGGAAAAAAAAATTATATTTAATTACCAATTGCTTAATGGTGGCAGGCAATCATCTGACCCATAGGTGGCAACCATCTCAAGCCAGAGGACGAGAGGACTCTAGCCGCCACGCATATAAACGATTTATAGTGAAAAACATTGTTTTTACGGGTTAATTTTTGGCAATCGCGCCGCTACGGATGAAGGCCTTCCGACACCGCCGTGCCCGTCGCGCGGGGCGGGTTTGTTTGATCGCTCTTCACCGCGCCGGTCAACGCGAGTTTGGTGAACGGAGAGGCCAGGACAAGTTCTGTCAGTGCTGTCCGTCACCGTTAGCCAAGTCCAGGAATCGAACTCGGGTCGGCGAGTTCGTGGCACAATGCACGAACCACTGCACTGAGGCTACCGCCCTCAACAGCTGAGAGTGCCACCCCTCTTCTCAAGATTATAAGATGTTCCCGAAAGTAAGACGCACCGATCCAAAGACTCACACAGATACCCATAGACTCAGAGACCCATAGACTCATAAAGAGACCCATAGACTCATAAAGAGAGCCATAGACTCAGATACCCATAGACTCATACAGAGCCAAGGATTCAACACAGAGACCCATAGACTCAACACAGAGATCCATAAACTCAACACAGAGAACCATACACTCACACAGATACCCATAGACTCAACACAGAGACCCATAAACTCAACACAGAGACCCATACACTCACACAGAGACCCATAGACTCAACACAGAGACCCATAGACTCACACAGAGACCCTGCCATGGCTGGTTAAGACACGATGTAAGGTAGAGCGTACTGCTCGGCATGCAACGATTAAAATTGGCTCTGATGCTCACGGTGCATGCAGAGGATCATGCACGCAGGAGTCGATCTGAGATTTGTGCAAAGTGTATGAAAATGATTATGCTAAGGCTAAGCTTAGGACAAACGAGTGTGTAAAACTGTACTAATCTGGCGAGATGTTATCTCCCTCGCCTAGTATGCAGAAGGTCGTGGGTTTGATCCCAACTCTGACGTCCGTACACTTGGGAGTTTGCGTGTCTCTCTCTCTCGCTCGCTCCGTGGTCGCGTGGGTTTTTCTCCGGGTCCTCCAGTTTCTCCCTCCACATGTAGATTATTTAGCTGCTTAAATCTCCACACAGCGATAAAAAGCCGCTGCGTTGAGTAATCAAGCCAGGTCGCTTCTGAAAAATGAGCTATACAGCTCGGACGGGCCTTACCTGGTAAAACAGAAAATAAATCGGTTTTAGTTTAAATAGTCGTTTAGAACCCGCTAAAAACCCTCCACGCTGAGAAGACAGGTGACCCCCTGGAACCGCCAACCTCCTGGCGAAGGCTCGCGGCCCCGCGCCCACAGCACTCGGCAAACGCCGGAGCTCACCCACACGAGCGCTAACCAGGCTCTGACCTGCTCAGCTTCTGAGATCGGGCGAGTGATGGGGTGAGGTCGGGCGAGGTCGGGCGGTGGTGGGGTGAGGTGGGGTGAGGTCGGGTGAGGTCGGGCGAGGTCGGGCTAGGTTGGGCGAAATCGTCCGATCGATAGGCCCACCGATTAAAAAACGACGTGTGCCAAAACGATCGAGTCTTAGCCTCGGGGTGGTGGTGCCACGGGCACACGCGCAGGACGGCCACGCACGGCGGACATTCGATAGAAGATCTATTGCGAGGGCGGCAGCCCTGGATAGGACATTCAACCGTAGCGCCCCGAAAGTATTTAGCAAATTGACACCGAGTACGCATTTCACGACCAATATTATCCATAAGAGAATATGAGTACATTAACCCCCCCCGCCCGCCCGCCCGCCCCCACCCTTCTGGCCTTCGCACCTGATTGGTTCACAAGTGATGACGTCACATTTATCCCCCCCCCCCCCCCCCCCCCCCCCCCCCCCCCCCAGCAGGAGGATTTCTCCACAATTCTGTGTGGCTGTCGCCTGATGCTGCTGCTGCTGGTTGTTCTTGTTGTTGTTGTAATTACCGGCGAAAGGTCACGGCACTATATCTGTAAACGTTGCGGTGGGTTTACTCTCCGACACACAACACACAACCGGTGTGCTGAACAAACCCTGACCAATCGGCTGCGTGCTGGTGGCGGCGGGCGTAACGACACATTTATATTTACACGATCTAACCCACGGAACCTCTGTTATGGGGGCAACTGGCAAACACCCTTTGCTCCCCCCCCCCGAGCAACCGTGGGACGGGTTGCCACCACTCCTGGCTTTCGGCAGGATCGTCCGCCCGGGGAAATAAGCGAGTCTCTCCCAGGACATTTAATAAGGTGTCGGTCTTGCCAGTTGCGCGATAATCACGATACAAAAAATCCGTTCAACACGATGCATTAAAGCAGTCCTCCGCTCTCCCCGTATTTTGTGAGATACATCTCCCCGTGTCGACATGCCCCCGGGAGTTGTTTGTACATCAAAAGGTGGCAACCGCGAGCTCAACGCGGCTGCGGTTGCTGCTGGCCCGTCCTCTCTAGCTGCCCCGCTGCGCCCCTGGCTCACGCTGTGCCCCTGGCTCACACGCCGCCCTGGGCAAGGTCACGACTCAGCCGACCAGTCGCGTAGCTCCGTCGGTCGGTACAACGGATGACTTGGGCCCCACTCCCTGTCCAACCCTCCCTCCCTCCTCCCCCCCTCCCTGCTCTCCCCCTCCCTCCTGCCTTCTCTCCCTCCCTCCTTCCCTCCTCCCCCCCTCCTCTCTCCTCCTCCTCCTTGTCACCAGGCGGTGCCTGCACCCTCCCACCGGCCTGGTGGTGGTGGCGGTGGCGGTGGAGCAATTGCACCGCCTCCGTCCGGTGACGATCGGTCGGTCGCCGGCAAAAAACTTTAAATGCCTTGGGGCCCGGCAAAAGGCATTGGTGGTGGGGGGGGGGTGAAGCGGAGGGGGGGGGTTAACGTAAGTTTGGCGACCCCTTGGATTGGAGACGCGGGATACGTTCCGGAGATGCGCGTGACTAGCACGCGGATAATGACGTCGGCCTACCATAAAGCACCTTGAATGAATACGTAAAGAAGCGTTCGCTCTCATCGCTTTATCTCATCAGTTTCCCTCTCATCACTTTACCTCTCATCACTTTACCTCTCATCGCTTTACCTCTCATCGCTTTACCTCTCGTCGCTTTCTCTCTTGTCGCTTCATCTCTCATCGCTTGATCTCATCAATTTCCTTCTCATCACTTTACCACTCATCGCTTGATCTCTCATCGCTTTACATCTCATCGCTTGATCTCTCATCGCTTGATCTCTCATCGCTTTACCTCTCATCGCTTTACCTCTCATCGCTTCATCTCTCACCCGTTTACCTCTCTCATCGCTTTACCCCTCGTCACTTTCTCTCTCTCGACGACGACGACGACGCAGCGGCAGCAGCAGCGGGGAGCCGCGTAGACTTCCAGACGCGATTCTCGGACGGCCCAAAAAATCGCGCGAGGAGCCAAAAACAGTGGCGAGAGTGACGAGGCGACGAGGACGCCCCGGTCGAGAGATGACGAACAGAAGAAGGGGGGGGACGGGCGGGGAGGGAGGGAAAAAAACACGACGGCTCACAACGGCACCAAGTCACTTTGCCGCCGTCAAAACGTAACGAGGGAGGTGGGGCGGGGGGAGGGGGGGGTACGAAGCCGACGATCGGCACGCGCGCGCGCCGGGCACCGGCGGCCGCTGAGCGTTGCTCGCCGTGCACGGCGTCGCTGGTGAACAAGGAGGCGTCAGACTTCCATGTTGATGGGCTGCACGTGACCGGTCTTGTGGTCCTTGATCCAGAGCTCGCGATCCTTCGTGGGGTCCACCTTCTGCAGGGACTGGTCCACGGGTTCCATCGTCTGGCAACGAGAGCGGGGAGAACAACGGGGAACTTTGATCTCGTCTCTCTGTCTCTCCGCGAGGATGGGGATGGTTTCGTTTTGTTTGTATGTGTTTGGGTGGTTTGTTTACCTTTCTTGTACTTTGCACCCCTTCCGTGTTTGTTTATTGTTAAGTTGTTGTCACGTTCCTACCCGTGTCCCTACTGGACATCCGTGAAAAAGAGCTTCATAGCTCATCGGATTCCTCCAGTGTGAATAAATATTATGATTTGTAAACACGTTCCCGTTCTGATGACGTACGTGTGCATCATCATCATCATCGTCGTCGTTTTATTTATTCCGTTCTGATGACGTACGTGTGCATCATCATCATCATCATCGTTTTTTTTTAATTCCATTCTGATGACGTACATGTGCATCATCATCATCATCGTTTTTTTAAATTCCATTCTGATGACGTACGTGTGCATCATCATCATCGTCGTTTTTTTTATTCCGTTCCAATGACGTACGTGCAACTGTGTGGGCGGTGAGATGCCACGGTCGGGGGGAGTCGAGTGGCGATGATCGCACTCAAGAGGGTCAGAGACGCTCAGCCGGCAGCGCCGAGAGATCCCGGGTTCAAGTCCAGGTTTGAGCTGCTGAACTGCGATTATTGACGCTTACGTCATCGGAACCAAGCCGGAAGAAAAACTAAAATCAAATCAACTTCGTCGGCGCCGAGGCTCCCGCAAGGCCTTGCGGGAGGGCGTGCGGCACAGTTTGACGCTGGCTATCGATCGGTCGGTTCTCCGCGGTGAGTAACGGCGTCTTTAAAAACGACGGCGCTGCTGATTCGGTCTCTAAATAAAATTAAGGGCGAGCCGATTGAGCGTTCCGAGATTCAGCGGCGAACGGGGCACCGACCCTGCAACTCGCAGGCAGTCTCTAAGGCAGGGGTGGGTAACGTCCGGCCGAAACGTCGTGAGAATTTTTATTGCTTTATATTAATATTATTTTATTATTTCCCTTCTACGTGACTTTACCGAAAGAACCAAGAATATGAATCCCTGCAGTCACGAAAGCTTTAAATAAATAAAAATATCCAAGTTTATTTTTAGCTGAAGCCGAACCGACTGCCTACACACAAATTGAAAACGCAGCGATTCTCGAACAAGACGGGCGGCGACATCGACGGCGGACATCGCGAGCCTGAGGATCGCCGGTGACATTCGCCGCCCGCTCGCCCGCCCGCCCGCTCGCCCGCCCGCCCGCCCGCTCGCCCGCCCGCCCGCCCGCTCGCCCGCCCGCTCGCCCGCCCGCCCGCTCGCCCGCCCGCTCGCCCGCCCGCTCGCTCCTTCGTTCGCTCGCGCGAGCACTCACGCTCTGGTTGAACATGTCCGTCTCGTGGCGGAGCTGGGCGTATCGGCAGAGGTGCTCCTGCACCATCTCGATCCGGCTGCTCTCCATCCGCTCCAGCTCCTGCGGGCGGCAGGGACGATATTGGGGAAGCCAACGGCGAAGCTACGCAGTGTGAAGTCACCTGGATTTGAGAACTCGTTTCTTTACGGTACTGCTTGTTGTTGTCGTCGTCTTTAGTTTCGCAGTCCTTCCACCCCCCCTTCCCGCCACCTCCGATTAGCGCGGTCGGCTATGTACGGTGCGAAAGAAGTTGAACATGCATGCCGGGCAAAGGACAATAAACTAAACGCAACAACAGGCGGTTGTCAAGAAAGTAAGTTTTCAAATCCAGGATAAATAAAGATTCTAAAGTCGCTGGTGGAAAACCGCCTCGGCACTGGCACGACATTCATGCGCCGGTGAAAAAGGCGGTGCGGGGGGGGGTGGTGGCGGTGAGGGGGGTGTGCCGATCTAGCGGCGCCTTACCAGGCTGGTGGTGACCACCTCCTCGAACCACTTGGACTGCGCCTGGTTGTAGAGGTCCACGCACTTCATGAGGTCATCTCCTGCGAGAGAGGGACGGGCCCGGTCAGGCCCAAGAGACGCGGGAATGCTCCCGGCAACACCCCGAGGTCCGCCCCCAAGCGACGGTGACATCACCGCGGCGCCTGCGCCAGGCCGGGCGCGCTTGGAGGCTGCCGCGTGGAGGCGTCGAAGGGCTCGCTGACGGCGGGGTCACGGCGGGGGGGGGGGGGGACGAGGCCCCACGTGCCCGTGTGTTGACCGACTGAGTTGACTGCCGGGCACGCCAGCTGCGGTCCCCCTAATCTGCCCCTACTAATGCCCGGCGATGGCACCTGCACGGCCCCCCTGTTGTCGCCGGGTATCAGCGAGGCGGTGGGCCGCCGGCTGAGCATCGCCGTGATTACAGCGCGCTCCGACAGGGCTCAATCCACAAACCCCTCTCAAAGAAACGAACGAACGGCTCACTGGAATGTTTTGGGAAGGGGATGATTTTTTTGTTTGTTTAGCGGATTGCGCGAGTGTGCGTGTGCCCGTGTTGCAAACAGGATTGACCCGTCAAGCGTATTTCTAGCGAATGGAGGACAACAGAGCGCAATGCACGTGCTTGTGTACACAGCGTTAGTGGCACAGCGCCGCCGCGCTATGGACCCGGCGGGACCCGAGTTCGATTCCCGCTCACGGCCACCAACACCCGGTGACGATTATCTGAACCGGTCACGGGCCTCCCCCGGGTCGACCCAGCCTCAAATGAGCACCTGGCGCGATGCGAGAAGAACATCGCCACCGGGAAGACAAAGGCGGCCGGGCGCGGTGCTGACCACCCACCTCCTCGTGTGCCGTGCCGGCCTTCATAGGTGCTGCTCGCTAATGGCACTCGCCCCTACAGCCCGTCAAGGCTACACGGGGGATCTTTGTATGATGTTAGGTGCCGTTTCACTGCACCCCACCTCCCCCCTCCACGTCGCCGTACCAGCCTGGGTGGACTTGCGTCGCGCCTTCTTGATGTCCTCCTCCGTCTTGTTCGTGGGCTTGATCTCCAGCTGCTGCGACTTCACCTCCAGGTCACGCTGCCGCTCCGCCAGGACCTTCTTGGCCTGGACAACCGGAGAAGGTGGAAGAGGTCGCTCGTGGAAGCCATGCCGAGGGGGTGATGGGCACACCTCCCCCCCATCCCAACTGCCGAGCCCCTCCCCCCCATCCCAACTGCCGAGCCCCTCCCCCCCATCCCAACTGCCGAGCCCTTCCCCTCATCCCAACTGCCGAGCCCCCCCTCCATCCCAACTGCCGAGCCCCCCCCCCCCCCATTCCAACTGCCGAGCGAGGGGGGCAGCGTAGCTAAGCGGCTTTGCCCCCCAGTTGGGTCGTTGCGTCAACCGCCGGCTAACATCGTGATGTAATCCAACGTCCACCGAGAATACGCCGCCCCCCCCACACACCCCCGGCCTCCCCCACACCCCCCGCCCCCCCCCCACACCCCCCACCCCCCCACACTCCCCCGCCCCCCCCCCGGGGCGTTAACCGGCGTGGCTTGCCGGGCCGGGACCCCAAGGCCTCACCTTGTCCACGTTGGCGAGCCGCCCAAGCAGCTGCTTGCGATGCTCCGATATGTGGTGCTCGAACTTCTTGAGCTCCTTCTTGAGGTTCTCTCGGTAGCTCAGCAGCGGCTTCTCCACTTCCGTGTGCAGCTGCGGAGGGATGGGGGGGGAGGGGCGAGATGCCAGGGTGGGCGGAGTCAAGTTGGCGATGATCACACTCCAAGGGTCAGAGACGCTGAGGTTTTCAGCCGCGAATTAACCCTTTCCCCATCCCGATGACGCGCACGTACGTCATCGCTAAACTAAAGTCATTTTATCGGTACGTCTTCAGGTCGAAGGACGACGTTGCCCCCCCCCGTCCCCACTGAGCCCCCCACCCCCCCCCCCGCATCACCACTGCTGAGCGAACCGCGGTCACTTCGGTTGGCAGTCAACGTTCCCAAATCGACGACCGAGACCGCCCTCAAATGAATGGCGCCACCCGCTCCGTGACTGCCCCCCCTCCCACTCCTCTTCCTCCCCGCCCCACCGCGATCCGTGTGTCGACCGAAGCGAACGCTGTCGCGGGTGCGGACCTTTCGCCGAGTGCGCGCGACGAATTAATGCGAGGAGGGAGTGAAGAGCGGCCGTAAAACACGACGCTGAGTTACGTCTGCCGGGCCGCACCGGGCCCGTGGAGCTGCAACGGCCGGCAGTACATCACTCGCAGCTCACCACGAGCAAAGCCTGGGGGAGAACGCCTCCACCCACGCGCCCGGATCTCGGTTACGGTGTAAGCCGTGCCAGCGGACGCGTCCCCACCGATCTCTCCGCGTCCGCCGAGCGGCAAGAGTTTAGCGGGAAAAACGCTTTCGAGGATTTCTAAGCGACTGCTTCACCGAGAAAATTCAGTGGCAAGGTCGCTCGGTGGCTAGGTCACGCCTGGTTGGGGTGGGTTTTCTGCCAAGCACGTGGTGGGTGAATGTGCACACGTTGAATTCGATTTTCTCGTTTGTTTGTTGGATATTGACGGTGGAAAGATCCACGGCTGCCGGCTGTACGTCTCTTCACATGGCTGAGTGGCTACACTGTACAGCTATAAAAAAAATACATTATTTTACCAGGTGAGGCCCCCATCACTGAGCTACGTAATTCGTTTTCATCATCAACGCGCGTGGAAATTGACAGCAGCAGCCAAACAACTCTAAATAACGCACGCCACGGGCGAACGCAGCCCACATTTTAAGCCGCTCGACCTCCGAGCAGCGCTGCAAAAGGAGGAGCCTCAAATCAAGATTAAAAGGAGGAAAGTTGCCACTCTCTCGTCTTTGTAACGAACGCCCCCCACGGGAAACATTTGGCGTCCGCCGAGACCGCAACGTCAGATCAAGGCCCCCCGTCTCCATGAGAAAAATCCCAGCGGTGGCCGCAGCTTCCCACGCGCCGCCTGCCCGCTCTGGTCAATCATTGACACGGAGGTCGGGAGTGCCGTGGCGAGATGTTAACTACCTCGCCTGGGTATGCGGGAGGTCGTGGGTTCTAACAAGACCCTGACGCCTGCTGTATGTTTGGAGTTTGCGTGTCTCTGTCTCTCTCTCTCTCCCCATGGTGGTCGCGTGGATTTTTCTCAGAGTCCCCCGGTTTTTCCAGTCCACATTTAGAATCCACGTGATGATGATGATGATGCTAAGCCACTTCATTGAGCTGTCATTTGTGATGGCCGGGTCGCTTCTGACAAAGAGCTACACGGCAGCTCACTGGGCTTACCTGGTAAAATAATAAAAATATAAATTGTTTTAGTTTCCATCTGCTGCTGCTGTTGCCCCATCGGCTCGTCGTTACGTAACGCTGCGGGGGGCTTATTCACGCGTGGGCTCCGCCCGTGCCGGCTGATCGTGAGCTTCTGCCGGTGGCCTTGCTGGTGCAAGTGCCGTTCGCGAGTAGCAGCGCCTACGAAGGCCGGCACGGTGGCACACGAGGGGGTGGGTGGGTGGCTGGCACCACGCCCCAACCGTCCGGTGGTGGTGTTTACCACACGCAGCGGGATACGCGAGCGAGATGGCCGTGACTTGGGGAGGGGCCTTCATCCCGCAGTGGATAGACCACGGCTGTTACTGCTGCCGCTAATAAAATCTCAACAAACTGGGCACCCGCTGATCACACCACCCCCCTAACCCTCCGCCCCCCCCGACCACCTCCACTGAGCGCATGGTCACGTGACTGCAAAGCAACAACAACAACAAACCTTGGCGGCAAACTTGAGATGGACCTCCGCCTCGTCAGACAAACTCTTCTTGAGCTGAGACCACGCCTCCCCCAGGGTCCTGCACGCACAAGAGGAGAACACGGAGGTCGCCGTTAGTCAGAGCCGCAGCTCGGCTCCCAGCCACGGCCGTGGCTCGGGCACGAGCCGCCTAGCTGCTGCCACAGACGCGGGGAGCAAGCGCCGTGGTGGCATTTCCAACTTGCTGGGGGACTGAAGTAACGGAGGATGTGTGAAGAGGACCACACCCATCGTCGTGGCTAGGAGATGTTAACTACCTCGCCTGGTATACAGGAGGTCGAGGATTCGATTCCGACCCTGACGCCTGCTTCTGTATATTTGGAGTTTGCGTGTCTCTCTCTCTCTCATCATCATCACGGTGGCTAGAAGATGTTAACTACCTCGCCTGGTATACAGGAGGTCGTGGGTTCGATTCCGACCCTGACGCCTGCTGCTGTATATTTGTAGTTTTCGTGTCTCTCTCTCTCCCATCATCATCACGGTGGCTAGGAGATGTTAACTACCTCGCCTGGTATACAGGAGGTCGTGGGTTCGATCCTGACCCCGAAGACACCCGCTGTATATTTGGAGTTCGCGGTGTCTCTATCGACCTCTCCTCGTGGACGTGTGGATTTATATCCGGGTCCTCTCGTTTATCCCCCCACGTTTAGAATCGGCGTGCGTTCAGAGTTACTTGGCCGCGATAAATTTGCACGCGATGATGATGAGCCCACCTCGTTGGGCCATCACTTGTGGCAGCAACGTCACTTCTGAAAAAGAGCTGCGTAACTCAGTGAGCATGGTAAAATAAAATAAACATTTAGTTAAAGGAGGGGGCCAATTAAGAGAATGCACGCAGAAACGTGCCCCAGTCGGGAATTGAACCCAGGCAAGGCCGAAATTATAATATATATTGGGGGGGAACACATCCCCCCACCAATATTCCAATATGCTCAAAATTTCCCCCCCAATATATTGCTATAAAATAGATTTCTGTTTATATGATTGCGGTTATGGTTGAAATTTATTAATCCCTAATCTCTGCCATTACATACAGTGAAACAAGAAAAGGTAAAAAAAATATCAAACAGAGCAATGTAATACAATACACTATTAGACATTGTTGGTAAAAATTAATAAAAAGTCCATCCCATGTCTTAGTGATTTTTTGAATATTTTAGGCAGAGAATGCCAAGAAATTCGTTTTCAAATTTAGGTTTTTTTTTCTGGGGGGGAGGGCCCCCAGACCCCCTGGAAGATTTGGTCCCCCCCAATGCTGACTCCACGGCTACGGCCAGGCCTCTCCTTCCTGTGCCGCCACCCTGGGGTTTACAAGCCGGTAGGCTGGAGTGCAGCATGCTCCTGCAACTACAAAGACAAAGATGCGACGTATAGTCTGCAACAGACTGTTGGGACAAGTGCTGTTAGCGAGCAGCAGTGTGAGGAGGAGGAGGAGGCCGCCACACATTTTAAACAATTGGGGGGTTTGTGACAGCAGCACGATGACGGGGGGGGGGGGGGGGGGGTGGACGTCAGGGGCCCACTAGTGGCCCCGACTGTACCCACTCCAACACTCCTTTCCTACTGCACATCTCTCGTGAATCTATTGTTGTTTTTTTATTTCACCAGGTCAGGCCCCACTGAGCTACGTAGCTCCTTGTCATAAACGACCTGGGCTGACACAAATGACAGCCCAATGAAGTGGCTTCATCGCGCGGGAATTATAGCAGCCGAATACTCTAAACGTGCGACGTTGATTCTAAACGTGGAAGGAGAAACCGGAGAACCCGGAAAAAGAAATCCACGCGACCATGGGGAGAGTAGACACGGAAAACTCAAAATATACAGCAGCAGGCGTCAAGGGTTGGGATCGAACCCACGACCTCCTGCGTGCCAGGCGAGAGGCTGGGTGGCTATTTGTTCTGTCTACCTGGTTGGTTCTGTCCAATTCATTATTTCCGTCTCGGTCGAACTGTCCACCTGGTGTAAGCCGTGTACTCGGTGCGGTCCTCCTGATCCGCACCCGCCCTGTGTTCATACCATTACGTCTCGTTTGTATTGCCCGTTTGTTTTCGCACCTGCTACCTTGTTCGGTTTTGTCTCATCGGCCTATTGACCATCCCCCCCTACGTTCCGTCTCATTTGGCCGCCCCGGGGTTTGATTGCCGAGCCGGGCGCCTTTCCGCGTGGAGTTTGGACGTCTGTGAAAAAGATCTTCACAGCCCATTGGATTCCTCTAGGATGAATACAGATTTCCGATTCAGATTCTCTCTCCCCCTGTTCTGCGTGGGGTTTCCGGCACGTTCTCCGTTTTTTCCTCCCGTCGTGAAAGTCAAAACAACGTAGCCGGCATTGGCCAAGAACGAACCCAAACGCTGAATAGTCACCTGCAAATTCTACTCAATTGGGATCGCCCCCTGCTGCGAAAACGTGGGAAAAAGCCTGCCCTAGAAAACAACACTGAATTTATATCATTGGACCTCCCCTTTGCCAGTACCAAAATATAATAATAGGGTTTTTCCTCTTTTTTCTGGCAACAAAACTGAAACCTTTTTACGAGGATTCATGTCTGCATTAACCACAATACCTGCAGTCAAATGCAAAACGAAAAACACGCGATGATAATATAGGCATTGTCCTTGAAACTGATTGGTCCACACCAAGGGACGTCCCTTTTCATTATTAAATCCTTTATATTAAGTTCACTTGCTTGCTTGCTTACGCGCTTACGACCGTGCAAATCTTTCGGTCGTTTATTAACCCACTTCCCGTGATCCAATCGAGCTGACATTTTGCACACAGACTCGTTGTGCGTGACAATGTATTTTTGTGAAATTTTTTTTCCAAAATTTTACACTTTTTAGGAAAATAATTTTATATTTATTTACCAATTGCTTAATGGTGGCAGGCAATCATCTGACCCATAGGTGGCAGCTATCTCAAGCCAGAGGACGAGAGGACTCTAGCCGCCACGCATATAAAGGATTTATAGTGAAAAACTTTGTTTATACGGGTTAATTTTTCTCCGTCTCGGTCGAACTGTCAGAAAAAAGGGGAAAACCCTATTATTATACCACTGAATTCACTTTACAAGGTAAGACCCACAGAGCTATGTAGCTCTTTTTGTCAGGAGCAACCTGGCCACGAATGAGAGCTCAACCAAGTGGAGTATCATCACGTGGACATTTATAGCGGCCAAATAACTCTGAACGCAGGCTTATTCTAAATGTGGAGGGAAAGACCGGAGGACCCGGAGAAAAAAATCACGAGACCACGGGGAGAGACAGAGAGAGAGAGAGACGTAAACTACAAATGTACAGCAGTCAGGGTCGGGATCAAACCCACGACCTCCTGTATATCAGGCGACGTAGTTAACATCTCGCCACGGTGGTGCTCACCAGAGCATCGAGACTCAGCGAGCATTTCCTGTGTAAACAAGCGATATTGTTACAATCGTAACAATACAACTCATAGGGCGGTAGTGGTCGTGGTGAGCAGAGCCGTCACTAAGGGTTACGACGATTCAGGTAGTCCGCCCCGGGCCCCGCGCTTCGGGGGGCCCCCCGTGGTTCGACGTCACGGCGTCAGTCAGAAGGTGTCGGGGGGGTGGGGGGGTGGCTCGCATGGCGTGGTTTGTCCCCGGTCTTGCCACACTCCCCACTCCGGACTGGGCCCTGTTCTAGTCTCTGCCGCATTTATGAAGGCGCCCTTCGCCTAGGCGCCTGACAATGCTTACCGACCACGGTGCAAAAACGGCAAAAATAAGGGAAGGTTTGGGGGGCGCGGTAGTACGGCCCTTAGTTCATCGGGTTCGGAAAGGAATGAGATGTGGCAGCAGGAAAGGAGGCGATGGTGCAGGGAGGTTGAAGGCCCTGGTGGTGGTGGTGGTGGTGGCGGTGGTGGCGTTGGTGGTGGTGGCGGTGGTTGGTTGTGGGTGCCCTTACCCTTCCTCCTGCAGCGCAAGGGGGCTCTGTGACATCTTGGACAAATTCTTGGCGTATTCCTCCTCGATCCGTATCCTGCACGCGTGTTTCGCGGGGGGGGGGGGGGGGGGGAGAAACGAATCGCACAAGACATTAGCCGCACGACGCTCTACCAACCAATGGGATCGCGCGACCCGCTCATCGCTTGCCAACGGAATCGATGCGAAACATTTCTGGTAGCCGAAACGTCACGCGGCTTTTAAGGACCATCGCTCGCCGAGTTTTTTCAGTCGGAACGTATCTCGCTCGTCAAGCGAGGCGGATGTGCCTGTACTGTTTGTTACAGGCCGACTGTGTAAGCAGAGAGCGCCAACGCAGCGGTCAGCGCGCCACGCCACGAACCCCCCCCCCCCCACCCCCCACCCGACCCCGACGGCCCGAGTTCGATTCCCGCTCACGGCCACCAACGCCGGCGTCGATTATCCCGAACCGGTCCCTGGGCCTTCCCCTAGGTCGACTCGGCCTCAAATGAGTACCTGGTGCGGTGTTTTAAAAACATCGCCGCCGGGGAGACAAGTCGCGGCCGGGCACGGCGCCCGGCCGCCAGCCGCCCACCCCCTCGTGTGGCACCGTGCCGGCCTTCGCAGGCGCTGCTACTCGCTAACCAACACTTGCCCCAGACGCCTGGTTACACCGGGGTGATCTTGATCTCGGGCAACTGACGGAAGCTCACGATGAGCTCTCGCACGGGCGGAGCCCACGCGTGACTAAGCCCCACCACAGCGTTACGTAACGACGAGCCGTTACAAACAATTAATCGCTCGCGATGGGGCAACAGCAGCAGCAACAGATGGAAACTAAAACTTAACGATTGTTTATTTTGCCAGGTAAGGCCCACTGAGCTGTACAGGGACTCCTCTACTTACGAACATTCGACTTACGAACTTTTAGAGATTCGAACAAACCCGTGTCCGTATGTCCAGTTGCCTGTTTGGACCGAGAGTCGTAAGTTTAACCGCCGTGCAATAGATGGCGGTGGTGGCATCTACATCTGCAGAACGTGAAGAACCAGCGGCATCTACATCTGCAGAACGTGAAGAACCAGTGGCATCTACATCTGCAGAACGTGAAAAAGCAGCGGCATCTACATCTGCAGAACGTGAAGAACCATTGGCATCTACATCTGCAGAACGTGAAGAACCATTGGCATCTACATCTGCAGAACGTGAAGAACCAGCGGCCCAGAGGAAAAAAGTCCACGCGACCACAGGGGAGAGAGAAAACACGCGCACACGTCAAATACACAGGAGGCGTCAGGGGTCGGGATCGAACTCACGACCTCCTGCACACCAAGCGAGGCAGATGACATCCTGTCACCAGATGTAGGCACGCCGCTGTCACCACGAGGTGATGTTGAGAGGAGAGAGAGCGAGTTTGATTTGTTCCTCGGCGTCGAACCGACCAAAATAGACGTTTTGATCTCGTTAATTAAAATTTGCAACGACAAGCACACAATGTGCCTCTTAGCGAGTGGTGGAAATGAGCCTGAAGCAATGAGGGATTAGGCGTTTTTATATTTAAGTCACTCACAGATAAGACTCCCCTTGACTAACAGAGAGACCCACATACACACACAGAGACCCACAGACACACACACAGACCCACAGACACACAGAGAGACCCACATACACACACACAGACCCACATACACACACAGAGACCCACACACACACACAGAGACCCACAGACACACACAGAGACCCACAGACACACACAGAGACCCACACACACACACAGAGACCCACAGACACACACAGAGACCCACAGACACACACAGAGACCCACAGACACACACAGAGACACACACACAGAGACCCACGACACACACAGAGACCCACGACACACACAGACCCCCAGACACACACAGAGACCCACATACACACAGAGAGACCCACAGACACACCACACAGACCCACAGACACACCACACAGAGACCCACAGACACACACAGAGACCCACAGACACACACAGACCCACATACACACAGAGAGACCCACAGACACACACGGAGACCCACAGACACACACAGACCCCCAGACACACACAGAGACCCACAGACACACACAGACCCACAGACACACACAGAGACACACATACACACACGGAGACCCACAGACACACACAGAGACCCACATACACACACAGAGACCCACAGACACACACAGAGACCCACAGACACACAGAGACCCACAGACACACACAGAGACCCACAGACACACACACAGACCCACATACACACAGAGAGACCCACAGACACACCACACAGACCCACAGACACACCACACAGAGACCCACACACACACACAGAGACTCACAGACACACACACAGACCCACACACACACACAGACCCCCAGACACACACAGAGACCCACACACACACACAGAGACCCACATACACACACAGAGACCCACAGACACACACACAGACCCACATACACACAGAGAGACCCACAGACACACCACACAGAGACCCACATACACAGAGACCCACTAGACACACCACACAGAGACCCACAGACACACACCGAGACCCACAGACACACACAGAGACCCACAGACACACACAGAGACCCACAGACACACACAGAGACCCACACAACACTCACAGAGACCCACAGACATGCACAGAGACCCAGAAACACGCACAGATAACCACAGACTCGCACAGAGACCCACAGACAACGCACAGAGACCCACAGACTCACGCAGAGACCCACAGACACACACACACAGAGACCCACAGACACACAGACACACAAAGACCCACATACACAAACAGAGACCCACAGACACACACAGAGACCCACAGACACACACAGAGACCCACAGACACACAGAGACCCACAGACACACACAGAGACCCACAGACTCACACAGAGACACACAGACACACAAAGAGACCCACAGACACACACAAAGACCCACAGACACACACAGAGCCCCACAGACACACACAGAGACCCACAGACACACACAGAGACCCACAGACACCCACAGAAAGACCCACAGACACACCACACAGAGACCCACATACACACATAGAGACCCACAGACACACCACACAGAGACCCACAGACACGCACAGAGACCCACAGACACACACAGAGACCCACAGACACGCACAGAGACACGCACAGAGACCCACAAACACACACAGAGACCCACAGACAACGCACAGAGACACACAGACACACACAGAGACCCACAGACACACACAGAGACCCACAAACACACACAGAGACCCACATACACACACAGAGACCCACATACACACACAGAGACCCACAGACACACAGACACACAAAGACCCACATACACACACAGAGACCCACAGACACACACAAAGACCCACAGACACACACAGAGCCCCACAGACACACACAGAGACCCACAGACACACACAGAGACCCACAGACACCCACAGAAAGACCCACAGACACACCACACAGAGACCCACATACACACATAGAGACCCACAGACACACCACACAGAGACCCACAGACACGCACAGAGACCCACAGACACACACAGAGACCCACAGACACGCACAGAGACACGCACAGAGACCCACAAACACACACAGAGACCCACAGACAACGCACAGAGACACACAGACACACACAGAGACCCACAGACACACACAGAGACCCACAAACACACACAGAGACCCACATACACACACAGAGACCCACATACACACACAGAGACCCACAGACACACAAAGACCCACATACACACACAGAGACCCACAGACACACACAGAGACCCACAGACACACACAGAGACCCACAGACACACAGAGACCCACAGACACACACAGAGACCCACAGACTCACACAGAGACACACAGACACACAAAGAGACCCACAGACACACACAAAGACCCACAAACACACACAGAGCCCCACAGACACACACAGAGACCCACAGACACACACAGAGACCCACAGACACCCACAGAAAGACCCACAGACACACCACACAGAGACCCACATACACACATAGAGACCCACAGACACACCACACAGAGACCCACAGACACGCACAGAGACCCACAGACACACACAGAGACCCACAGACACGCACAGAGACACGCACAGAGACCCACAAACACACACAGAGACCCACAGACAACGCACAGAGACACACAGACACACACAGAGACCCACAGACACACACAGAGACCCACAAACACACACAGAGACCCACATACACACACAGAGACCCACATACACACACAGAGACCCACATACACACACAGAGACCCACAGAGACCCACATACACACACAGAGACCCACATACACACATAGAGACCCACAGACACACACAGAGACCCACAGACTCACACAGAGACCCACAGACTCACACAGAGACACACAGACACACACAGAGACCCACAGACACACACAGAGACCCACATACACCCACATGGACCATTACCGGTCTCTGACGAACTCGGCCATCTCCTTGGACATCTGGCGCCCCTTGAGCTGCTTGGAGACGATCACCTCGAAGCCGCTGGGCCCCGCGTTGCCCTGCGCGTCCTTCCTGTCCGACTGGACGCACGGGACGAGCGGCAGAACGGTCACCGCGTGTGGCCGCAGGGGGGGGGGCAGGGGAGACGATGGGGGGGGAGGCGGGGGAGGCGGGGGAGGCAGGGGGAGGCAGGGGGGGCGGGGGGGGCGGGGGGGGCGGGGAGGCGGGGGGGGCGGGGAGGCGGGGGGGGCGGGGGAGGCAGGGGGGGCGGGGGAGGCGGGGGGGGGCGGGGGGAGGGGCGGGGAGGGTAGGGGGCGCGGGGGGTCGGGGGGACGGAGGAATCGGGGGGGCGGAGGGGGTGGGGGCAGCAAGGGGCGGGGGGGGGGGGCGGTGGGCAACTCACCCAGAAGTAGTCGCAGTAGCTCCACTCGCCGGGCTTGAGCAGCGTCTGCTCGCAGAGCGCGTCCGGGTGGGGGAAGGTGACTCCGTTGATCTGCACGGGGAGGGGGGGGGGGGGGGAAGGCCGACAATCCCGATCAACGTCGCTCCTCTTCCCCCGGCGAGGGTTTTCGCGTAGCCCACGCTCGAGTTCACGGTTGCGTTGGGGAGCGGCGGCGCTGCGCTACGAACCCGGCGATCCTCCCGTTCGCGGCCAACACCGGTGACGAAAATATTTTTCTTTTTTTACCTATGTGACTTTACCGAAAAAACCAAAGAGTTTGGGTGATTTATTTAACTTTCTTGTACTATGCACTCCTATCGTGTTTTTGTACTGTTTGTAGCGTTCTTACCCACTACCCTTATTGGACATCTGCGAAAAAGCGCTTCATAGCTCATCGGATTCCTCCCGTACAAATAAATATTATGATTCTGTATTTGACTCACGGATAAGCCCCCCCCCCCCCCCCCCCGAGGCTAACGGAGAGGCCCACGGACACGCACAGACACATTCTTAGGTTTTTTTGGTAAAGTCACGTAGGTAAAAAGTTAAATCAAATTAATAAAAGTTAAATAAAAATGAAATAAAAATCACGACGTTTCGGAGGCAACACAAGCTTCCGTCTTCAGGTGGAACCGTCACAGCACGATAGCTGTATCAAGTGAGAGAAATTCCAAGAAAACAGTCCTTGTATATATATTGTGACGGTTCCACCTGAAGACGGACGCTTGTGTTGCCTCCTAAACGTCGTGATTTTTATTTTATTCTTATTTTATTAATTTTAATTTTATACCTACGTGACTTTACCGAAAAAACCTAAGAATATTAATCCTTGCAGTCACGAAAGCTTCAAATATACAACTAATACCCACAGACACGTTCGGGGGGGGGGGGGGAGGTTGCAGTTGTTTCCGTGAAAATCGGACAAACGACTCGCGCGTGCGTCCGGGTCGTGCCGCGCGCTCACTCGGCGCGACGTCCCCAATGTTCCTTTCGGGGAGGCGGCGGGAGGGGGGGGGGGTAACGGAATTTGGCGACGGGCTCTCGGCGTTCGGCCCACCGAGTTTTTGGCGGAGCGAAAACGCCGGGCATCGTGGGCGGCCGTGGGAGCAGACGGAAGCCGCGGGGGTGGGGGCCGCGGCACTTACCGTGAGCGTCGTGGTTGATTTTTTCGACGGAGATTCCAGTTGCGAGCCCTGGAGGAAACGGAGCGGAGGTCAATCGCGGCGAGCAAAGGCGCAGCGCCGAAATGCCTCGCTCACGGCACCGCTGCTGGCGGCAAGGGCCTCCGCCAGAGGGAACTCAAGGGAGCCCCTTCCGGAGTCTGTTTTTGGCCTACTCTTCCACATCGGCGAGGCCATTGCTGGTTGCAGCGCGACCGTTCACTCCGACTCGCGTAAAGCCGTTGGGTGCCACGGTGGCTAGGAGATGTTAACTACCTCGCCTGGCACGCAAGAGTTCGTGGGTTCGATCCCGAACATTATGCCTGCTGCTGTATATTTGGAGTTTGCGTGTCTCTCTCTCTCATCATCATCACGGTGGCTATGAGATGTTAACTACCTCGCCTGGTGTACAGGAGGTCGTGGGTTCGATTCCGACCCTGATGATGCCTGCTGCTGTATATTTGGAGTTTGCGTGTCTCTCTCTCATCATAATAACGGTGGCTAGGAGATGTTAACTACCTCGCCTGGTGTACAGGAGGTCGTGGGTTCGATCCCGACCCTGACGCCTGCTGCTGCTGTATATTTGGAGTTTGTGCGTCTCTCTCTCCCGGTGGTCGCGTGGATTTTTCTCCAGGTCCTCCGGTTTTACCTCAACGTTTAGAATCGACGTGCGTTTAGTGTATTTGGCTGGGATGAATGTCCACGTGATGAAGATAAGCCCACGTGGTTGAGCTCTCAATGCTGATGGCTAGGTCGCTGTAAAAATAAATCAAATGTTGTTTTAGGAAAAGGTGGAAATTACCCTCTCTTTACCCCACCGCCAGCGCGCGGTGGTGGGTGCAGCACTGGCGGTGTGAGTGTGTGTGTAACACTGGTGGTGTGTGTGTGTGTAACACTGGTGGTGTGTGTGTGTGTAACACTGGTGGTGTGTGTGTGTGTGTAACACTGGTGATGTGTGTGTGTGTAACACTGGTGTGTGTGTGTGTGTAACACTGGTGTGTGTGTGTGTGTGTGTAACACTGGTGTGTGTGTGTGTAACAGTGGTGGTGTGTATGTAACACTGGTAGTGTGTGTGTGTGTAACACTGGTGGTGTGAGTGTGTGTAACACTGGTGGTGTGTGTGTGTGTAACACTGGTGTGTGTGTGTAACACTGGTGGTGTGAGTGTGTGTAACACTGGTGGTGTGAGTGTGTAACACTGGTGGTGTGAGTGTGTAACACTGGTGGTGTGTGTGTGTGTAACACTGGTGGTGTGAGTGTGTAACACTGGTGGTGTGTGTGTAACACTGGTGGTGTGTGTGTGTGTAACACTGGTGTGTGTGTGTGTGTAACACTGGTGGTGCGTGAGTGAGTGTGTGTGTGTGTAACACTGGTGTGTGTGTGTGACACTGGTGTGTGTGTGTAACACTGGTGGTGTGTGTGTAACACTGGTGTGTGTGTGTAACACTGGTGGTGTGTGTGTGTAACACTGGTGGTGTGTGTGTGTGTGTGTAACACTGGTGAGTGTGTGTGTAACACTGGTGGTGCGTGAGTGAGTGTGTGTGAGTGAGTCTGTGTGTGTGAGTGAGTGTGTGTGTAACACTGGAGGTGTGAGTGTATGTAACACTGGTGGTGTGTGTGTGTGTAACACTGGTGTGTGTGTGTAACACTGGTGTGTGCGTGTGTGTGTAACACTGGTGTGTGTGTGTGTAACACTGGTGGTGCGTGAGTGTGTGTGTGTAACAGTTGTGGTGTGTGTGTGTGTAACACTGGTGGTGTGTGTGTGTAACACTGGTGGTGCGTGAGTGAGTGTGTGTGTGTAACACTGGTGTATGTGTGTGTAATACTGGTGATGTGTGTGTGAGTGTGTAACACTGGTGGTGTGTGTGTGTAACACTGGTGGTACGTGAGTGAGTGTGTTTGTGTGTGTAACACTGGTGGTGTGTGTAACACTGGTGGTACGTGAGTGAGTGTGTGTGAGTGTGTAACACTGGTGGTGTGTGTGTGTAACACTGGTGGTACGTGAGTGAGTGAGTGAGTGTGCGTGTGTAACACTGGTGGTGTGTGTAACACTGGTGTGTGCGTGAGTGTGTAACACTGGTGTGTGTGTGTGTAACACTGGTGGTGCGTGAGTGTGTGTGTGTGCGTGCAATGCAGATGACTCTGGGCGTGGGAGTGAACGTGCCGATCACCGTGCTGCTCCGGCAAGGTCACCAATCAATGAATACCCTCCCCGGCCCAGAGGTCATCCCGGCAACTGCAGTCCATTACTCGCCAAGAGCATATTTGTTGGTGAAACGGCGCTTAATATCAAACACTCGTGCCAAGATCACGTACACAAGACCCCCCCGTGTAGCCTTCACAGACTGATGCCGTTAGCGGCACGGCACACGAGGGTGTGGGTTGCCAGCACCACTCCCGACCGCCTTTGTCTCCCCCAGTGGCAATGTTTACACACCGCACCAGGTACTCATTTGAGGTTGAGTCGTCATAGGGGAGGCCCAGGACCGGTTCAGATAATCGTCACTGGGTGTTGGCCGTGAGCGGGAATCGAACCCGGGTGGCCAGGTTCGTAGCGCAGCGAAGCGCTAACCGCTACACCACCGCTCCCCATATACAAAGACAAAGATCCCCATATAGCCTGGAACAGACTGTTGGGGCAAGTGCTGTTAGCGAGCACCTATGAAGGCCGGCATGGCACACGAGGGTGTGGGTGGCCAGCACCACTCCTGACCGCCTTTGTCTCCCCCAGTGGCGATGTTTACACACCGCACCAGGTACTCATTTGAGGTTGAGTCGACCTAGGGGAGGCCCAGGACCGGTTCAGATAATCGTCACCGGTGTTGGCCGTGAGCGGGAATCGAACCCGGGTGGCCAGCTTCGTAGCGCAGCGTAGCGCTAACCACTACACCACCGCTCCCCATGTACACAAACACACGCACACACACACACACCATAATGGATGACATTTGTCTCAAGTTTTTTCTCTTGCCTGTATGTCGCTGCTGGACTTCCTCATGTTCTTCTGCGATGGGGTGGGCGACAAGGAAGCCTCACCTGCAAACAAGAGAGCCGGTTCACCCACCAGGCAATTAAAATAATCCGCTCGCTCATTCGCTCGCCCACTCATTCCGCCTTCACGCCAAGAGAATGCCCCCACGCAGTTGTCGCCGGATGGGCGAGGGGGGCCGACTGCCAACACGGGCGGTGGAGTGGTCGCCACCAGCCCGGCGGCCAAGGAGAACCCCTAAGATCGAATGTGGGAGACTGTTTGGGCAAATCTATGGGGTTATTTTAACACGTAGGCACTCGCGACCAATATTATATCATATCGATATCCATTGTACTTGATATGTGTACATTAACCACTCGCCCCCCGCCTCTGGTCTTCGCAGCTGATTGGTTCACAAGTGACGACGTCACATTTGTCCCCACGTCTATTTAAGATCGAGACAGGAGGAGGATTTCTCCACAACTCTTGCGGTTCGACCTCGGCAGGCCGCCCCGGTTAACAACCGCCGGGGCGTGCCGCTCTGCGGAGCGCACGGGCAAGGCCCTCGTGGTCACGGGATCGGCGCGAGCACCGCACGCGCCCAATGATTACGTCGTCATCGCCATCATTACCATCCCTAACGCCGACAATTAGGGACGGAACGGTTGATCGCGGTTGGGTCTTGGCCGGGAGCCCGTTAAGTCACCACGGTTACGCAAGGGCAGGGGGCGCGGCTCTTGAATCGTCCACGCCGGGTCTCGCCCGCCGGTGGGAAAACTTCCCGCGAGCCCGGGGTGGGTGAGATCAGCCGAGCCCCGGCCGGTCTTGGAGCGCGGCCACCGCCCTTTTGTGGGGTCAAAGGGGCAGCGGCCTTCGCTGTACTCCTCAAGCCGCGAGCGGCCTCCGCTGAAAGGAGGCCGTCGAGGGTACGTGGGCCTCCTCTGCCATGCCGGCCAGACGTCTTGGTAGCGGTGGCAGTACCCGCCCGTGCACTGCACCACCATACGCGACGTGCCGATCCACCCCGAATTGCCCGTTCCCCCAGAGACCCAAAGAATCACCGAGAGACACCACGAACCCACATGGGGACGCGCAGACCCGTAGGCTCGCACGGATCATCCGTAGACTCACGCAGACTCGAAGAGACCGACAGACTCGCGTAGAGACTCACAGACTGACGTAAGAGAGCCGTGCCATACGGTGCAATGCGATTGACGGATCGCACTTCACGTGGTCACAATCAGGCGGCTCCGTAACCGTTTAGAATTCTGAGACATCTGCAAGTCACATCGTGGACGGGGTCCCGTTCACCGCTGAATCTCGGAACGCACAAGCGGCTCAGAGTCAATTTTATTGAGAGAGGCGTAGCAGCAGCGCCGTCGTTTTTTAAAAGACGTCGTTACTCACCGCAGAGAACCGTAGCGACACGACCGCCGCGCTCAACGATTGATAAGCCGGCGTCAAACTGTGCCGCACGTAACCCTCCCGCGTGACCTCGTGGGAGCCTCGGTACCGTTAAAGTTCTGTCATTTTTTCTTCCGGTTCCGTTGCGATGACGAACGCCCACGTCATCGGAAAACGCAATCGGAAGAAAAAACGGATGACGCACGTCATCGGAACGGGAAAGGGTTAAATCCACTCGCCCCACCCCACCCCCCCCCATCACGTGATTGCCCTCCCCGCGACTCACCGGTGGGAGACGGCGTGGAGGGCGTCGACACGGACCGGTTGGAGGCCTCGCCCGTCGGCCTCTCCCAGGTCGTCTCTGCGACGGGAAAAAAAATATAAGCGGAACGGTCGAGGCGCGGTCCGTGCGGCCGGAACATCACAGAGGGGGGGTCGGGGCGGAGGCCGTGGGGTAAGCGGGCGGGACGGGAGCAGAGCACCGGAGCTGCAGACCCCATCCGCGTCCGTCCGCCCGGCAGGGTCAAAAGGGTCACGGCGTTTGGTGGTTAAAAAGTGTGGGTCCTGCCACCTCGTCCGAGAAGTCTGGCACAGTGTGGAAGAGTCGGCGAGTTATCGTTTCTCAAGGGGCTGTCTACAGCAGTGGTTCTTCTTAACCCGGGGTGCGAGATGACCTTTCTGGAGGGGTAAGCGAGGCATGGCCAGATTTTTTTAGAAGGTAAAGCATGGAAAACACAAGTTAAGCACGGGCGCGTAAGTACAACGACTTTTTAGATTTCGATTTAATGCTTTCGTGACTGCAGGGATTCATATTCTTGGTACTTTATTTTATTATTTCCCTTCTATGTGATTTTACCGAAAGAACCAAGAATACAACTACTTTGTTTGTATTGATTAACGTGATAAAAAATATAACGATTGAGAACTAAAGGGATGGGAGGGTGCAGTAAAAGGTTAAGAACCACAGCTCTAGAGCTTCCTCTAGTATCACTATCACTAGTTTTATTTCACCAGGTAAGGCCCCACGTGGCTTATCATCATCATCATCACGTGGAAATGTAGAGCAGCAGCCGCGTAACTCTCAACGCGTCACGTTGCTTGGAAATGTGGAGGGAAAACCCGGAGGAACCGGAGAAAAATGCACACGACCACACACGGAGAGAGAGAGACACGCAAACTCCAAATATACAGCAGCAGGCGTCAGGGTTGGGATTGAACCCACGACCTCTTGCACACCAGGCGAGGTAGTCAACATCTCCTAGCCACCGTGATGATGAGAGAGAAATACACGCAAACTCCAAATATACAGCAGCAGGCGTCAGGGTTGGGATTGAACCCACGACCTCCTGCATACCAGGCGAGGGAGTTAACATCGCCTAGCCACCACGGCGCCTGGGATAACGCCCAGGACCGTGAGCGAGACGCCTACGGGTTAGGGAGGCCTTAATCCAGCAGCGGATGGATCACGGCCGATGACGACGTACACTGCACACAGTGTTGGTGTACGGTGCTTTTTCTGCAATATTTAGCGGTCTTTTCTTGGTTTTTCTGTTTGCATTTAGTCACTACAAGATGTTTTCTTGTTCATGTTTTTGTTTTTTTTGTTTGTTGCGGTTGCACCCGATTCAAGAGCCGAATGGCTCACAGGGGCTATACCTAATAAATGAACTTGAAAACTTGAAACTTGATGAGTTGAGCACCACTAGAGGGCAGCAGTGGCCAAGCGGTGGTGGTGGGGCAAATCGTGGGGGAAGCCGAATCGGGGCGGGGGGGGTCACAGCTCCGAGGCAGCAGAGTAAGCTCACGTACGACGGGAAAACCGTTCAGCAGTAAAATAAAAAAAAATGCATATTTTTACTGGCAAATGACGTTCCCATAGTGTAGATGCTCGCCCCGAGCTCTCATACTCTGATGGTGCATTGTCTTTGAGTTGTGCGCCTTTTGGCGTCATCTGGTCCAACCCATGTGAGACTAGGCTCTAAGGAAAGCTGTCTCGGGTGTGGACCGATCAACTTCAAGGACAGTGCACATTATCAGTGTTATGTCTTTTGTTTGTATTATGACTGCAGGTATTGCGGTCTATGCAAACATGACTCCTTGTAAAAAGGTGTCAGTTTTGTTGCCAGATAGAAGGGTAAAAAAAACTATTATCAGTAAAAACGACATCACGGCGGTGATACACTCCGCAACTAACTCCTGACGCGGTTGTATGTATGTTCGTTCAACTTCTTCCACAAACCGTGCGTAGCAAACCGCGCTACAGATTTCACGTTGACCACCTCCCGGCGGAGGCCGAATCCTGATGAGGTCACTCACGCGATGCATACAGAGGGCGGTGTGCTTCGTGTGGGTTCGATCCCGACCCTGACGCCTGCTGCTGCTGCTGTATATTTGGAGTTTGCGTGTCTCTCTCTGCACCGTGCGTGGTCACGCGGATTTTTGACTCCGGGTCACCTGCGAATTTTGTCCCGTGCTCAATTCGGCTAATTTCCAGCATCTCCAGAGTGAGTCAAAAAACAAAACCACCACCACCACCACCACATCGGTTTGACCGTCAAGAGGTTACGCTCGAAGTCACATTTTCTAAAGCAGCTCCGTGATTTCAGACTTTCCGCGGGGCGGGCTCCCTCCGTTAACGCGCGCAGCATCTCGCATTCCTCCGCCAGAGCTCCGAACGGATTCCCCATCACGCGACCGCGATAAAACCCGGAGGAAATCGACCGCCCCACCCCCCCCCCCAAAACACGACGCGCGGGGGCAAGTGCACCGTAACGATGCCGACGACGCGTGAACAAGACGCGCCGGACGTTTCGGCTCGAGAACGAGCGCGAGGGCCCAAGAATTCCCGGTGAGGTCCCATCCCCCGCGCCAGGAAACGGACACGTGATGGTAAAGCAATCGCCGTTGTCTCTGCTGCGCCCACGCAGGTGTCCACATCATCATCGTCGTCGGCGTCGTGTGGAAGTTCGTGGCACAGCCCTCGAAACACTCTAAATGTGTTTGGAGGGGACACGGAAAAAAAAAAGCGGAGGACCCGGAGAAAAAAATCCACGCGAACCACGAGGAGAGAGAGAGAGAGAGACACGCAAACTCCAAATATACAGCAGCAGGCGTCAGGGTCGGGATCGAACCCACGACCTCCTGCGTATCCAGGCGAGGTAGTTAACATCTCCTAGCCACCATGATGACGATTATGAGAGAGAGAGACACGCAAACTCCAAATATACAGCAGGCATCGTCAGAGTCGGGATCGAACCCACGACCTCCTGCGTACCAGGCGAGGTAGTCAACATCTCCTAGCCACCGTGATGATGATTATGAGAGAGAGAGAGACACACAAACTCCAAATATACAGCAGCAAGCGGCAGGGTCGGGATCGAACCCACGACCTCCTGCACACCAGGCGAGGTAGTTAACATCTCCTAGCCACCGTGATTATGATGAGAGAGAGAGACACGCAAACTCCAAATATACAGCAGCAGGCGTCAGGGTTGGGATCGAACCCACGACCTCCTGTGTACCAGGCGAGGTAGTCAACATCTCCGAGCCACCGTGGCGCTACGAGAATAGAAAATACGCCACGGATGATGTCGAGTTAGCTCCGGCACGAGGGGCCCACTGCTGGGGGTGGGGGGTGGAGCACGCACCCCTCCCCTTATCGACAGGGTGCCCCCCCCCCACGTGACAGCCCCACGTGACAGCCCCACGTGACAGCCCCACACTGCCCCCCCCCCCCCCCCATCCGAGATCAACTGGAGCCAGGTCACCCGTTGCTCGCGACCCGGGTTTTTGAATGATAAGTAGTAAACGGACCACACAAGACTAACTGCGATTGACCGTACCCCCGCAAGGGTTTGCTCACTTCAACCCGCGGCCTCGTGTTGGAAATCCTGGGAAGAGAGGAAAAAATAAAATGTACGACCTCATCCCTACGGGCAATGATTTACGACGCTGCGCCGATGCCCCAAGCTGCCCCCCCTACCCCCTCCCCCTGCCCTCCACCACCCCCCGGGGAAGCATCGCTGGCAGGGATGCGCCCCACAACAGCCGCTTGGATGGTCTCGCGGAAAATGTGAATCATTTCTGGAACGTAAACTCGGGTCACTCCGGCCAGAAACTCCGCCGCCGCCGTTTCTGGCAGCCGCCGTCGGCACGGACGGACGGCTTCCTCGAGACGTAGCGCTAACGAGTCGACCGGAGCACTGCAATGAACTTCATCTAAACTAACACGGAGTGGTCTTGGTCGCGTAAAATATGAAATGCACGACGCCGGTTGCAATTGCCGGCGAAACGGCTCGGCGCTCGAATTGTAAATGTTGTGGGGTTTTCTCTCCAACGCGCCGTTTTTGCTGTGCCAGTAACGAATTGGCACGTTGTGTTCACGTGACAAACCTTACTAATTGTCCGTGTCAGGTGGTGGCGGGTTTAACGATGCATTTATATCTTCTTGGTTCTTTCGGTAAAGTCACGTAGAAGGGAAATAATAAAATAAAATAAATTAAACATAATAAAATACAATTCTCACGACGTTTCAGAAAGACAGCGTCTATCCGACAGACCTGTTCTTCACCTGAGGACGGCTGCTTGCGTTGTGGTCGAAACGTCGTGAGAATTATTTTATTATTTCCCTTCTACGTGACTTTACCGAAAGAACCAAGAAGATGAATCCCTGCAATCACGAAAGCTTTAAATCGAGATGCATTTATATTTAAGCGATTCAACCCAAGAAACAAAACCTCTGTAAAGGATGAAACTGAACAATTTTTATTTTACCAGGTAAGGCCCCCTGAGCTGTGTAGATTTTTTTCAGAAGCGGCCTGGCTATCACTATGATAGCTCAACGAAGAGGATGATCATCGTCACGTGGACATTCCTAGCAGCCGAGCACTCTAAGAACACGTGATGTTGATTCTAAACGTGGAGGAAAAAAATCGGAGGACCCGGAGAAAAATCCACACGACCTTCTGCGTACCAGGTGAGGTAGTTAACATCTCATCACGGAGAGAGAGAGACACGCACACTCCAAATATACAGCAGGCAGTCAGGGTCGGGATCGAACCCACGACCTCCTGCATACCAGGCGAGGTAGTTAACATCTCATCATGGAGAGAGAGAGAGAGACACCGCAAACTCCAAATATACAGCAGGCAGTCAGGGTCGGGATCGAACCCACGACCTCCTGTATACCAGGAGAGGTAGTTAACATCTCATCACGGAGAGAGAGAGAGAGACCGCAAACTCCAAATATACAGCAGCAGCAGGCGTCAGGGTCGGGATCGAACTCACGACCTCCTGTATACCAGGCGAGGTAGTTAACATCTCATCACGGAGAGAGACACGCAAACTCCAAATATACAACAGGCAGTCAGGGTCGGGATCGAACCCACGACCTCCTGCATACCAGGCGCGGCAGTTAACATCTCATCACAGAAAGACAGAGAGAGAGACACGCAAATTCCAAATATACAGCAGGCAGTCAGGGTCGGGATCGAACCCACGACCTCCTGTATACCAGGCGAGGTAGTTAACATCTCCTAGCCACCGACGGTGCTGGGAGAATATAGGTCATAGGTGATGTTGAGTTCGGTAGGGCAATGGGAATTCTTCATCTGAAAAAAAATGAGACAGAGGCCACAGGGTTGGCGGTGAATAATATTTGGAGACTGCACGTTGCACACGATGTGGCCCTGATAGAAATCAGTAATCTCGCAAACATTCGACTCCTTTGAAGAATGCTTCTTTCAACTTTGGTGAATGTTTACGTGCCCGTGTAGGGGCTGTTCACCGAACAACATTCTTCGTATTAGGGCCCCAATGGTGCATATGGTGCATCGTGCAGCCCCCAATGATGATTCACTCTTTCTCTCTGCCTCTCCGTCTCTCCGTCTCTCTCCGTCTCTCTCCCTGCGTCTCTGCCTCTCTCTGCCTCTCTCTGCCTCTCTCTGCCTCTCTGCGTCCCTGCGTGTCTGCGTCTCTCTGCCTCTCTGTGTCCCTGTGTGTCCCTGTGTCTCTCTGCGTCTCTCTGCGTCTCTCTGCGTCTCTCTGCGTCTCTGCGTCTGCGTTTCTCTCTCTCTGTGTCCCTGTGTCCCTGTGTCTCTGTCTCTCTCTGTCTCTCTCTGTGTCTCTCTGTCTCTCTCTGTCTCTCTGTGTCTCTCTGTGTCTCTCTCTGTCTCTCTCTGTCTCTGACCTCTCTCTCTCTCTCTGTCTCTGTCTCTGACCTTTCTTATCTCTCCGTCCTCTCTAAATCTCCGTCAGGAGGTGCCGTCCCCCGGAATGCCTGAGATGAGATGTCACCGGCTCTGTGAAGAAGCGGGTGCATTCAAGCACCCAATGAATGCTAACATTATCCCCATAATAGCCGTTTGTTTCCTGAGTTTAATGCAAACTTCCGCGACAGAGTTTAAAGTCTTCTGCCGCGATCGTAACACGCGGGATTCACGAGGGGTGCGGTGAGCGCCAGCTTGCGACGGAGAAACGTTTCGGGAGTCCGAGAGTTCAAATGAAATCTAACTTTCACCACAGCGGCCGCTTTGGTGAAAACGTAAACAACAAAAATTAAAGTTTACTTACATTTTTTTATTAAAACGGCAATGGATACCCGTAGTCATTCATATGCATTCATTAACCCCCCCTCCACCCACATACGTTGTGACTACGGTCTGCTCTGGATGGCCCACAGTCGCATACCATTGGAGAGGTTTTTTCCCCCATCTATATATATAAAAGAGAAATTTGTGAAAACGTGTGTATGTTCGAAATGTTTAGCATACTTCCCGACATGCAAAAAACTTGAAATTTGGCACGTGGGTAGCTTCCAGACTGTACACAATGTAAAAAGTATAACAATAGACTTTTGTATTTGGGGGGGAGGGGGGGGCGCAATAATGGATGTAATATTTTGCAAGACAAGTGAGCGGTGACGTCACACCTGTGACGGGTGACGTCACACACCTGTGACGTCACCCGCATGCTGCAGCGTCACGCAGGGTGCCTGCTGACGTCACGCATCCCCCCCCCCTCCCCCCACCCTCCGCGTAGGCCGCGTGTTAATCCATGACAAGAATCCAAGTCCCGGGGCGAAGCCGGGTAGTAGAGCCAGTTAACAATCAAATAGTGGCTACATCATGGGACCTTCTTTGCCAGTACCAAAATATACTAATAGGGTTTTTCCCCTTTTTTCTGGCAACAAAACTGACACTTTTTTTTGCATTTGACTGCAAGTATTGTGGTTAATGTAAGCATGATTCCTTGCAAAAGGTGTCAGTTTTGTTGCCAGAAAAAAGGGGAAAACCCCTATTAGTAATCAAATAGCGGTGGTGGTAGCAATGAGGTCACCGTGCGTGAAGGTGTTGACGTAGTACTTCTGTCCCTGCGGGCTGATGTAGCACTGCCAGCCTTGGGGCAGCGGCGTGCTGCATCTCTCCTCGCCTCCGCCCTGCGGACTCCCCGGAGCTGACATCTGCGGCCCAGCGTGCGTCCAGAGCGAGAGAGAGAGACAGAGAGAGAGACAGAGAGAGATAGGGACACACAGAGAGTGAGGAACAGAGAGAGACAGAGAGAGAGACAGAGAGAGAGGGACACACAGAGAGAGAGGGACAAAAATTAGACTTTTGACTTTCAAACAACTTTTATTGCCGCCAGCAGCAAAAGCACTGGAGGCGATTTCGATATGAAACACACAAAGTCACCAGCAACACAAATGAAAATAAACGCTACAAATCGACGTGCCGTGGCGCTAAAAGCACCGCGCACAACATGAAAGAAAAGTCACGTGGTGGTGGTGGTGGTGGTCATCGCGCACGCCACGGTGACGAGCGAGCGCTTCACAAGGTGAACACCACGATGGTGCCGTCCACGCTGGTACAGAGGGCTTTACCGGCTCCCCAGCGGACACACAGAGAGAGAGACTGAGAGAGAGGGGGACAGGCGATTAGTTACGATGACGTTTGCCGGACGCATATCGATAGCGCAGTACTCAACAAGTCTTACTTTTGTTATTCGTTCATTCATCCGAAGCGTACGCTGAATAACAGGCAGTCGAATTTCGATTTAAAGCTTTCGTGACTGCAGGGAGTCATCTTCTTGGTTCTTTCGGTAAAGTCACGTAGAATGGAAATAATAAAATAATAAAACATTTACATAATAAAATAGTTCTCACGACGTTTCGGCCACAACGCAAGCAGCCGTCCTCAGGTGAAGACCAGGTCTGACACTGTCTCCCCGACAGACCTGGTCTTCACCTGAGGACGGCTGCTTGTGTTGTGGCCGAAACGTCGTGAGAATTGTATTTTATTATGTTTATTTTTTATTATTTTATTATTTCCCTTCTACGTGACTTTACCGAAAGAACCAAGAAGAACAGGCAGTCGCTTTTTGGCCACTGGACCCGTTTGCTAGGAATTCTGCGTAACTTTCTTGGCAACTCGGCCACCGCTGTCGCTCCCCTGTGAAGGTTGCCTGGCTTGGCTGGGAAGTTGGTGATTGCGCTCTGGGATGTTGCAATAAACCATCGTGGGATGTGGCAGTAGACCACGTGGGATGTGGCAGTAGACCACGTGGGATGTTGCAATAAACCATCGTGGGATGTGGCAGTAGACCACGTGGGATGTGGCAGTAGACCACGTGAGATGTTGCAATAAACCATCGTGGGATGTGGCAGTAGACCACGTGGGATGTGGCAGTAGACCACGTGGGATGTGGCAGTAGACCACGTGGGATGTGGCAGTAGACCACGTGGGATGTGGCAGTAGACCACGTGGGATGTGGCAGTAGACCACGTGGGATGTGGCAGTAGACCACGTGGGATGTGGCAGTAGACCACCGTGGGATGTGGCAGTAAACCATCGTGGGCTACGTTTCTTTGCTGCGAGGATTTCTTCGCCGTCGTTTGCGCTGCTTTCTTTTGTTTCGGTATGATATCTAAATGCGATTATTAATTTTTTTTATTTTGCTCGGTAGTAGGAGTCGGGGTTTTCATTTGCTCGGCGTGTACGGCTGTACGCGTGTAGGGCTTCTTTCGCGCAGCGCGTAGCCAACCGCGTATACAGCAGCAGGCATCAGGGTCGGGATTGAACCCGCGACCTCCGGTATACCAGGCGAGGTAGTTAACATCTCACCACGGGGAGAGAGAGACACGCAAACTCCAAATAAACAGCAGGCGTTAGGGTCGGGATTGAACCCGCGACCTCCTGTACACCAGGCAAGGTAGTTAACATCTCCTAGCCACCGTGATGATGATGAGAGAAAGAGACAAGCAAACTACAAATATACAGCAGCAGGCGTCAGGGTCGGGATTGAACCCGCGACCTCCTGTACACCAGAGCGAGGTAGTTAACATCTCCTAGCCACCATGATGATTATGAGAGAGAGAGAGACACGCAAACTCCTAATATACAGCAGGCGTTAGGGTCGGGATTGAACCCGCGACCTCCTGTACACCAGGCGAGGTAGTTAACATCTCCTAGCCACCGTGATGATGATGAAAAAGAGTCAACACACAAACTCCAAATATACAGCAGGCGTCGTCAGGGTCGGGATTGAACCCGCGACCTCCTGTACACCAGGCGAGGTAGTTAACATCTCCTAGCCACCGTGATGATGATGAAAAAGAGTCAACACACAAACTCCAAATATACAGCAGGCGTCGTCAGGGTCGGGATTGAACCCGCGACCTCCTGTACACCAGGCAAGGTAGTTAACATCTCCTAGCCACCGTGATGATGATGAGAGAGAGAGACACGCAAACTACAAATATACAGCAGCAGGCGTCAGGGTCGGGATTGAACCCGCGACCTCCTGTACACCAGAGCGAGGTAGTTAACATCTCCTAGCCACCATGATGATGATGAGAGAGAGAGAGACACGCAAACTCCTAATATACAGCAGGCGTTAGGGTCGGGATTGAACCCGCGACCTCCTGTACACCAGGCGAGGTAGTTAACATCTCCTAGCCACCGTGATGATGATGAAAAAGAGTCAACACACAAACTCCAAATATACAGCAGGCGTCGTCAGGGTCGGGATTGAACCCGCGACCTCCTGTACACCAGGCGAAGTAGTTAACATCTCCTAGCCACCGTGATGATGATGAAAAAGAGTCAACACACAAACTCCAAATATACAGCAGGCGTCGTCAGGGTCGGGATTGAACCCGCGACCTCCTGTATACCAGGCGAGGTAGTTAACATCTCCTAGCCATCGTGGTGCCAAGCATTATGACGGCCGGTGGCACCGCCTTGCCAACTATAAATGTGTAATCTCGGTAAATGCTTAACACGAGGTCACACACAGATTAACTTGAGGGTCAAGCCGACTTCCTGGCTCGCGTTTGTTTGTTTTACGACAAAAAAGAACGCAAACTCCAGCCACGCGTTAGTGGGTGTGTGAACCCACGCCACCGGGCCCGAGAATGTGTGTGCGTGTGTGCGTGTGTACGTGTGTGCGTGTGTACGTGTGTACGTGTGTACGTGTGTACGTGTGTGCGTGTGTGCGTGTGTGCGTGTGTGCGTGTGTGCGTGTGTACGTGTGTACGTGTCCGTGCCGTGGATGTATAGTTGGCATAGGAGGAGGGCACAGGCGGTGCATCGGCCAGTCGTCTCAGTCAGTCAAACCCACGGCACCTACTGGGTCTGCCTCGTGACCTCCTGCCGGCGGGCATTCGACACTTCACGTGGCCTCAGAGTGCACGTAGCCTGGCACAAGCGTCGTGGGGACGTCACGGCCACTTGGCGGTGAATGGGGGTTGTTGTGGTTGTGTGTTAAAGTGTGGCGTGCGGGCAGCGTTGAAGGTTAGCGTGCTGCGCTGCGAACCCGGTGACCCGAGTGTAATACTCGCTCACTGGCCAACACCAGTGGCAATATTCTGAATCGGTCCTGGGCCTCCCCCCCAGTCGACTCAGCCTCAAATGAGTAACTGGCGCGATGTGTAAACATCGCCACTGAGGAGACAAAGGCGGCCGGGCGTGGTGTTGGCCACCCACCGCCTCGTGTGCTGTGCCAGCCTTCATAGGTGCTCGCTAACACCACTTGCCCCAACAGTCTGTTAGGGCTATACGGGGGATCTTTGCCTATGTTGAACTTTTATCGCACCGTACGTAGCCAACCGTTGCTAATTTGAGGTGCGCAAGCAGGGATAACAAACTAAACACAAAAAGTAGTCCTAAAGAATTGAAATAACGTCGTGAGAATTTTATTGTTTTAGATTTTTCTTATTTCATAGCTTCCCTTCTACGTGACTTTACCGAAAGAACCAACAATATCAGTTCACACTAGTTAAGGACAACGACCTGAACACAGGAAGCAGAAACGAGCGGCAGGGAGAGCCGGGCCGGTGGACGTCGCGCAGCTGAGGACCGTCGGCATCGACACGCCGCCCGTCACGCGAAGAACGTTCACCCGGCGTGACGCTTGCGTGCGTGCGGCCCTTACCGGCGGCGGCCGGGACGAACTCGGCGGCCGTGCGGCGCCCGCCGTCTTCAGCCGGCCGTGGCGGAGCCGCCTCGCCACGCCGAGCACGTTCACGCGGCGATCACGCGCGTCCGTTCGCGTGCGCGGTGACACGCGTGTGCGCGGTCACGTGTGTGGCCGTACGGCAGCCGCGTCAGCTGACGGCCGGCAAGGCTGTCTTGGGCCGTCACCTCATCCGAAAGCAGGGCTTTCGGATGCGCTTCCGTGGCCGTCTGGAGCGATTTCCCTTGCGATATATCAGGAAGTCACTGGGAGCTCAGCGACTTTTAAAGCATCTACATTGACACACTCGTTTCTTTTCGATTTAAAGCTTTCGTGACTGCAGGGATTCATATTCTTGGTTCTTTCGGTAAAGTCACGTAGAAGCGAAACAATAAAATAATAAAAATATAAAACAAAATTGTTTGATATTCTCGGCTATTAATGTTCGAGGTATTTTTTTTTCTTTTGTTTTATATTTTTTTAATTTCATTGTTTCCCTTCTACGTGACTTTACCGAAAGTACCAATAATATACACTCATTTCATTAGAACTGCTTCGTTCGTTCAGTTTGTTGTCGTTTACCCCCCCCCCCGCACCTCCGATTAGCGTGCTTGTCTACCTACGGGAGCGAAAGAAGTTCAACGCACACACACACACACAAGCTCGACACGGCACGGCTTGGGTCCCGGGTGTTAATCGTCGTGGGAATGCCACAAACATTCCAAGCCGCCCTCCTCCTCCTCCTCCATGACTGCCGACGAGTGGCAGAGAAACCAAATTCCTCCGTAAACGATGACGTCTGTTCGCCCCGGCCGAGATCCATCGCCGTTGTTGACATTTTATTTTTCTCCCCCTTCTGACCGCAAACCCACCCTTGGCGGATTTCGAAGACGTCTTGCTTCCCTTTTGACGTCTTGGGTTTGCGCCGTCCTGGGTTCCACTCCAACCGGATTCATTCTCGGCTCATTCAATGTTCGCGGTGGTTTTTATTCTTTCGGATTTGCGAATTTT